CTATCAATATTAATCGCATTGTGATTGTTGTGTCAAACATTTACTAACAAATATGTCATAACATTTTTTTGAACGATATAAGAATATATTGTAAATATTATCTATCAAGATATCATTACGACGCATCGGTATCACCAGTTCCCGGACGATCGTTGAAGTTAAGCATTGAACAACAAGATCTAAAAATGGGTGCCGCCGCCTGACAGGATCGAATCCACGCGAGTTTCACGAATAATTGAAATAATACGGAATATGAAATGTCAGTTTTTTTTTATTATTTAGACAAAATAATCATACATTATCACTTATTTAAATCATACTAATGAATAAATCGTTGGAATTCAACAAAAAATATATGTGTAATGTGCTAACAAATAACATATAACTCTTATATAACTTTTTAGTCACATGTTACTTTTATGTTATATTCACGTTATATAACTGTAACACGTGTGAATAGGAAATTACAACGAACGTCTATAAAACCTACTATATACAAGTTATATTGCATATTACATTCCGTTTCATTACGGCAATGTAACTGTTATATATCTGTGTTTGTTGGGTCTGTTTTGCTGAGCGCAAAGCTTCTCTTGCATACGCTTGGAAGTCTGATCTCGTCGGTTTATTAAAATGCCGATTATTACAAACAGCATCTATGTGAGAAAAGAAATATATTTATGAACAAAAATTTATATACACGGTGGGCCATTTTAATCTCCCCACCTGAATTTCTCGTAATCTAAGTCAGATAGAGAAAAATGGTCCAGACAAAAGTAGAACGGGACAGAGGGGGTCATGTAATGGTACCAAGGACCTTGACCTTGAACTCGATTTTCAAGGTTATTTCAAGGTCAAAGTGATTTTTTTAAATGGGAACACCTATTTTTGACCCCGGATTTGAAAAGAGCGGGAAATTTTACGTTCAAAATGATATGTTAATCAAGGTCATGGCAAGGTCGAATGAAGGTCAGGTTTGCGAATTTTGATTTCCCAATTGAATATATCGGAACCTAAGCCAAATACGTAAAATTGGTTCAGACAAATGTTAAAGG